TAAGGAAGAAGAAGAAGAAGAAGAAGAAGAAGAAGAAGAAGAAGAAGAACAACAACAACAACAACAACAACAACAACAACAACAACAACAACAACAACAACAACAACAACAACAACAACAACAACAACAACAACAACAACAACAACAAACAACAACAACAACAAGAACAAGAAGAAGAAGAAAAAGAAGACTGTCTTGTTCCAAATTTTTTTTCGCAGCTGTAGCTTCATTGACATAGTTATCCATTGAGCAACCCAGCTTCTTTTTTGCCTCCTTTACGGACAGATCTTCAATGAGACTTTCTCGAGCGTCGTAAAGTTCGTTGCCAGCTTTGCGAGGAGGCCGTTCCATTGATCAAGTTCGTCTCGTTTTTTTGTTGAGAGCAGCTTCAACTCATTAGTGTGCTGTATTGTCTGTAGTTATTTAGCTGCTATCACAGGCTAGCACTTATTTGGCTTATCGGTTGACTTTTCTGCGAAGCGGAAGTTTTTTCTAACAATGGATGCCCTTTATTGTACGCAGACAAAGCAGTTCCCTAATTGATCATTTATTGTGTATGCACAACTGTTCAAGCCTCACTGGAATTGATAGCCGTTTTTGTGAGACTAAAGGTTCTCGTAAAGATCTGCGGTGTTCATCTTTACAATATGCTTGAAATACACCCTGTCGTTACACAATGGGTACAAACTTCTTCCTGTACAGGTAGTGCGGTCTGAGTGAGGACGCCGCGGTACTCATGAGCGAGGGAGCGCCACTTCTAGGAGCTGCTTCCCCCATTTAGGGAAAAAATATGTCAGCGATCAAATCAGGGGCGACTCGTCACGTTCATCCTTGTCTGGGACTGACTTGCGGCCTATCTCGTCTTACTGCTCGTCGCCCTGTTCTCTCATCCTCTGTCTTACTCGACTCATAGAATGTCCTCGATTCTTCGAAACCTCCTCTAACTCCGGGACTTTGTTGGGCGTCTCCGATTTTTTTTTGTCCACTTTTCTTCACTAGTAAGTGATCTTGCTGAGAACCGATGAGTGTGCTCCAAAACCCAGGATCCGGCGATGATGTTATGTTTGTCTTTCGTAATTCGTGGAATGTGGTTCGCGCCTTTTCGAAGTTTTCAGTGGATTAGTTTGACCAAAATAGTCGATACTTTTGCCAAAGTCTTCAAGGTGGCGTGTCCTCCATTCTTCAGAGGCCGTGGCTTCGAGATCAGTGAATGAACATAACCCCATCGAGCGCCTAATCTACTCCAGCCGTTCCGATTAACGTGTTTGGAATTGGGCCAAAAATCAAGAAAAATGCAACCACCAGGTGTCACAAGAATGCTGAGTTATGGGCAAAAGTGGGACCACGGACGACCAGTTACTGAACAATACCCACCAGGGTTTCACCGTTTGAAGCAAGATAATGCGCTCGCGCATCGGAATTCGGTAGCGAATGCAATTTCCAGTCGCTTCCTCTCAAACCCGTGGAAGTGAGAAGCCGCTCGTACCATTGGCTACTTGCAACTCGCCTACGGTGATGAAAGCCAAAACGGTTATTTGACGGATATCACCTCGCATTGTTGTATCGCCGGTTGTTCATCGTGTTCTTTACCAACAGAAATCCAGGAGAAGCATCTATGCTTCCCATGAAGAACCCTCCATCTTCTGCGCCACTTGATTTCGAAACTCGTGCAAAGTCAGTGCAGCAGTGCAATGACTATTCCCCTCTTTTTTGTGTTTGTCTAAAACCGCCCGCGCTTCTGTACCACCCAAAGACTCCCTAGTAGATTCAGGGGACTCCTTGTCTCTCCCGGATATGGAACCTGCACTGTACACGGTTGCGTCTAATTGGTACATTAGCAAATGGACTGCTGAGAAGATTGACCAGATTCCCCCGTTGACAGACCGAGACAATCTGTCGATGCACACCTTTGGATCGTAGGCCTGTTCGAACACTTGCTGCTTGCTCTCCACTGCTTAAAGGAAAGCACAGCGAGGGAGGTGAGTCAATGTTGCGTGTTACTGTTTCTCACATCATCACAAACCATCTTGCAGCATACTCCCGGATCCCCCTCCCACCCAGACCCTCCTCCCCCAAGGAAGCCGGTCAGTTATTTGTTGATTGTTTCCCCTTTGGATTTCTTGCCGATGAATGTAAGGTTAGATGATGTTGGTGTAGGCTTTAAATGTGATGTTTCTAGACCTGAAGAAGGGCTTAAAGCCCGAAACGTCGTCTATGCGATAAACGATTTTTGACGAGTTTCATTCTATCATTCACAAAGAAGACACTGTTAAAGATGTTTACTAATCTTAAAAACTTGCTACTGTGCTCGATAAGTGTACCGCTGAACGGCATTATTTATTCCACCGGAAAATGTTCAAACGGCTTCAAAGGAGCTAATACATAAGGACCTCCGTAGATTACGACTTTTCCTACGCAGGTCGGCTCTCAGTGCATACTCATGATTCCCACATAAACTTCAGGCTGGGCCCCATCAATCTGCACGACCAGGCATGCAGACAGGAGGGTTTGCGTGATCTTCCTCAGCCTCCAGCAATGTTTTTTTCAAGAGATTCAATGATGAAGATAAACTTCTTGGCGTGAAAAAAGTTCCACCTGATACACATCTGACAAGGACAGAAGGAAGCCATGCAACACGAGCATGACTCGACATTATCGGAACTTTTTTTTCTGCCGAGCGGTACCGCTGTGAAGAAGGGCTCTCATGCGCATCTAATCAGTAGGCTTCTTTGCCGGATGGATACAACCAATGACCTACTGCTTGGAAAAGACTGTTATTATTTATTATTAATTATTATTATTATTATTATTATTATTGACTTTATTTTATCATTTATTTATTTCATAAAACTCAGTTTTGCCCAAAAATACCGAAAAAATAAAAGCCTTGTCGAAACAAGACCATGTCGAAAACTGCAAGATTCTGTGCTTGATCCATTACCACAAAAATGAACCTTGACAATTCAAGTTTTGACCAGAGCCGGCTGCCTACAGTAATTTGTTTCCTGACGAGTGATATGCTAAAGTCAATTGTACGTGAATAGCCCGATTTTATTAATCAATTCCCTAAGGGACGCCAGGGAGCATTCCTTGCTAGCCATCTGGGATATCACTGCTATCACCAGCGCCCGACTACTGTAGTGAAGTGGTGAAACCAGCCATGTATACTCTCTCAGACATCCTGCTCTTTCTCGAATTAGTCAATTACTGGAAAACAAAAGCGCAAGTGCGCCATCACAATTATGTTGTCAATCTTTGTGGGGGGAAACTCCCTGGGATTACAGAGTTCCAGTATGTCAGATCTCGAGTAGCCCCGGATGCAGAAAACAAAAGACCAAAACTGCCGAGGACCCTTCTGCATGGTCTGACATTCGGAAGGAGAGAGGACTGCATGACTCAGAAATATCTTATCAGCTGGCTATAGGTGTGTTGGAGAACGAAGGGTGGAAACAGTACCGCCACTCCGCATCTGGGTGAAGGAGCATTCAGCTGTAAAAGGCTCGTAATATGCAACCTAGTGATCACACATCCTAGACACACGAGGATGTGACATTACGGTGAGAGTCGCGATTCCAGCACGTGAAGAGAAAGAGCCTTGGAGCTCATGGATTGCGGCTAAGAGCTCAGGAATCAATATGAGAGAAGAATCCAGACTATGAGGCGAGGTACTCTTCGGGGACATCTTGCACCTTTCAAGTCTACAGCGTTCATTATTCACTGGCGTTACCAATTGATGCGGAGGGGGGGGTCGGTCTTATCACAAAGTCGCTATTCCATCCATCAACCGAACATTGAGTCCTATATCCTAAACAAGACTACGAAATTCTCCTTTGTGTGCATAAGGTCCAATTTTCTGTCGAACGATACCATCCAGCCGGAGCATGGCTGTATGACAGCCTGCTGCGCTGCTGCTTCCTATTTGGTGAATCATCACCCGAAATGAGGAGACCGTACGAAAAAAATTCTTGTAGAGGCGGGCATCATATTTAAAATACTGTAGTATGAAATGCGATCACAAAGAATATGGTGACCGCTCAAATCTACTCTCCTCATTTATGGAAGATGGCAGGCCCAGAACCTCCAGAAAACGGTCTTGCTGCTATAGCTCATGACAATGCCAACTCTCTTTTGGTAAGACCTGTCTGTACTAGGAAGTCCAGCGGGGCCGATCCTCATGGTGTTGTTGGTCGAATCGCTATGAAACTACGATGAGACAAATCTGGCGAAATCATCGAGTCAGTGCGGCGCTGCTTTGTGCCTAAATAGTCAGCCTGCGAATATAGCTCGAGATAAACAAACCTCTTTTTTTCTTTGTTCATACCCACGGTTGCTGCTCTCCGTATTATCTTTGCTGAATCCCATAACTGTTTGTTTCGGGTTTACAGACTGCCATCTACGAGAGATGATAGAATAAGAGTGAGAAAATAGTTTCTGTGCTCATGGTTGAACGAGGCGCAGCTCGCGCGCGCAGCGACATCTCAACGAGGAGTCGGCCATTTTTTCATATGTTGTGTACAATTGTAATGATTTTTTTGAGAGTGTGTCAGAACTGCAGGATTTGGAACACCTCACTTCCTCGAGGTTCTTTTCTCGAGCATTTCATGGGAAATGCATTGCAAACGACCAGCCCTTAGTCGACTGTGAAAACGAGTCCCACGAGTTCATTTAGAGTCTTGGAGGGCGACTTGCAGGTTTTTTCCCTCTGGTTTACTATCTGAGCGGTTTCATTGAAGTGTACTGCTACGCCTTTGTCGCAATTCGGTCATCAATACAATATGTCTCGGAAGCGCTGAACATCTAGACATGGTTTATCACACTGAATCGTTTGTTTCAGATACTATGGTGTAAAAAAAGTGGCATGAGAAGATTTATTTAGCAGTCGCGGTTAGACTTTCCACATTCATAGGAATCCATTCTGAACCTTGTAAGGTAATTTGCAGAGAAGATCTTCACATTCGATTTTTTCCGGTTCAGGGAGCTTAATAAATTCACACACTTTATCATTCCCATGCACAACCCGCAATGGTTTGGTTCCAGCTTCCTATTTCGTACAGCTGCACGTTTAGGGGAACTCTAAAATGGAATAATACGTGACTGACAATTATCCTCGAGAAACAAGCGTATGTTCCCACCTGGTGTTGTAGATGCAGAGAACTGAAGCTTTGGTTGAGCCACACTGTTCGTAGTGACAACCGACTTCGTAAATCATCTGGTAAGCCATCTGAAAAATCGTCTTATGAATCACCCTCATTAATGAAGCAGAGCTAAATTTGTAGCTTACATTGGCGAAAGGGTACATTCTCGTGTCATTAAAGGTAGCGTTAGGTCCCATAGGAAGGCGATCCGATTCGTAAAGCCAAAAATCTACTGCATCGCTCAGAAAATTGTACTTTCCTTGTTTAGTGCCTGTTACATTGCCGCTAAAAACAATGAGAACATCTGGAGGGCTTCGTACCAATGAGAGTGAGAAATGGGTTCTTTTACTTACTGGAAAAGATTCCTTCCATTTTCTGGCACGCCTGATACGATGTCAGGACAAGCCTTTGGTCAAGCTGCCTTGCCTCTTTTTCTAGGGTGCAATTCCATCTCTGGAAGTCAGGATAATGAATAATGAAAAACTAATGTGAAAAGTGGCTTGGCAGTTTAGGCACCTAACCCTTGCAGAGCAGGATAATATAAATCAGAAGTTTTTCGGCATCATGCTGGAATCGGAGATCCTTCAAATTTCATGAGGGATGACTTGAAAAGGATGTTGTAGGAGCATTGCTAATTGCCAAGGAGCTCATAGTTTCGCGTTATAGGTATTTGTGTAGGGTTTGTTCGGGGTTGATCTGGTTGGACTGGGGGCCCTGAAACCCTTTTGTTGATTTGCAGCTTGGGTACTAGTGGGAGGCTTTGAAAAACGATCTCAAAGTGGAGCTTTGTTGTGCTATATTGTGTGACCTTCACGCGGTGGTGGCTTACCCCTCTGCATCGTATGCAGGACTTTGCCTGGTCCCTCTCATACCGTTTTCCGATGCCTTTGCACTTCATCAACAATTGACTTTCGATCGGAAGTATGAGGGATTCACCTTTCGAATAGTTAATAACTTTCCAACTAACCATCTTGAATAAGTTTTTGGCGGGTAGGTGATAGTAGCCCTCACTGTTGGGCGACTCTCCTAGAGCAAGTGTAAATCGAGTTCCCTCGTGATACTGTAAAGCTTGTGGCGAGTCGTGTCGTCCATAAACTCGCCATGGTCTGCGCCGCATGACTCTGAAAGAATTGAAGGGATTCTTTACAGAGGATTGAATCATCACCTGAAAGTGCTTGTTCCCGTATGTCCTCTGAAAAGAATGAGTGTTTTCAAAGCATCTTTTGGGGGACTCATGAGTAATTGGGAAACGTGTGCTCAAAAACTGGCAGTCAGAAATGAATGCGAAACTAGCCGAGCTTTGACTCGATACGAGCGAATAATGCCTATGTCTACTCTTATGCGACTGTGTGGTGCGATCAAGGGCGATCCGCCGCGAAACAGGTGGAGCCCAAGAGATTTGGTTAGACTACACTCTAACTTTGCGACGCTTTCCACTAGGTCAATAGAGGGATGTTTCAAAGGAAGGGCAGTATAGGCAATCTGGCGAATCCGGAATACGAGAGAGTGCGCGGCAAAGACGATCAGAGTGCTCACATGCGCTGTTTTCTTCATCAGTATCTCTACAGCAGAAAAAGCATGAGACGTACGTGTGTCAAAGTCTGGCGATATCCATTGCAGAGACCGCAAAGGCTCAAAAGAAGAATGCCGAACTGAAATTCCGTCATTTTATATGGAACGAAGTGGTTGTTGAGATCCACACCTACCGTGAACATTTTAGAAGGTACCGCAGGCGACGTATTTGACGCCCAGGTGTGCAGTGAAGTTAGGGATGTTAACACGGATGTAAAACACGGGGTTTGTTTTTACAGCTGACTTCAGAAAGATTTCCAGCGCCAAGGGCTCTAGCTGCCCTTTTTATTAGTTTTTCACAAGCGCCTATGTGCACCAGACTGCCCCACACAATGGTTTTTTATGAGCGCTGGACGCTTATTTTCGACGAACCCACATATGACGTTCTGTCCACTGGTTTAGTTCTGGTGTCCAAAACCGCGTTCATACTTCGCGACTCGAACCGTTGCGATTGTGACCTTCCGTGCTCTCTCGCTAGTCGTCGGACTGCTTGAACTACCAAAGTAGTCGTAGTCAGGGCCGAAACGGAAGCATTATGACGGTGTGAACCAACATATGGCTTCACGGCAGGGTACAGCATCGTTAAGGAATCCCTTAGGGGATCGTGCTCGATCACTGATGGCAGCGTTGATGGAAACGTATTTGGCTCCTATAGAAATCTTTCCCTGAGCACGAGAAAGTACTTCCTATCAGTTAACTTTTCGATTTTCCCTGCTCCCCGCCCCTTCCTTGGTTTTCAATGACTCTGCGCTGCAGAGCTATATACTATGCAACCAAAATTTCTCGAGTTTGATCCTCCTCCAACATCCCCTCGGCTGCGATTTTTAGGGGAAATCTGGAACAATTCTCAGGAAACATGCACTAGTTTTAGGGATTTGGCAGGTCCTGGAGCATGGTGGGTAGAACAAGCGGTAAGGAAGTCGTACTACACGAGAAAATTTTGGCAGTCGTACTATCACTGTTTCACAATACTGTACGCCGTTCACCTTGCTTTTATTAGGTTGTTCGGAAAGGAATGCGCGTTTACTTTGTCTATTTATTTCTCTTCTACTATAGGAGAT